TTTGCATATTTCTCGGTATTATTGAGGATAAATACTAATAAATCACATACAGTGCAATAAATGTGAGATGTACGCTCTCCAAGTCTAAATTCCCCATTTTTATATTCTCTTTCAGTCATATGAATGTATTCATTCTTTGAGAAGAATCTTGGATTATATTCGAGAAGTTTCTTAAATGAAACACGAATATGGAAACACCACATTTTTGACGTTTTATCAGAATATCTGTAATGCAGATTAGTTAATGCTTTCACTACTACAGAATTTAAACCATATTTGTCAGTGCTAACCATTTACGGGTATAGGTAATTTATAGTAATTTCGCTGATTTTAGTGATTTATAGCATTTTTAGCGAATTTTAGTAATTCTTTAGCAACTTATACTAGATAATATTATCATTCAAATTTATACGGATTTACTGATTAGCGGTTAATTGATTTGTAGCTGATTCAAGAGACTATATATTGCTAAATCCAAATTCATTTTATTCGATTATAAGTATGTCAGGGATTTATATAGATCATCTCTCGAGCTAAGCTAATTTTATATTTACACGCAGTTTGTGGATCTCTCATGATTATCAGGGATTAGCTGAAGGAGTTTTGCATGATGTATAACATAAATATTTGTATCACATGAGATATCCCCTAGTTCCCTAACACTTTCATGGCACTGAATGGTTTCTCAAATTACGGGTGATCGGCATATCATGTGTATTTGAAAAAATGGCTAAGCCACTATTATTATCATTTCATTAAATCAAATTAATCATCCTCGCTATGATCTAATACATCACTCAATATTTTCATAAACTAACCTTATTGCGAAGTTCTTCCACCATGTAAACATGTCTCTCAAGTGGGGCGATGCTCAAGTTTGCCTTCTTATCAATGAACAAAAAGAGAGAAATGTCGAGTTTTATAGCACTCCAAATAAAAAGAAATGTCTCTTTGGGATAGTATTGCCGAAAAGATAAACGAACAAGAGAATATAAACTATTTTATAGGCGAGGAATGTCAAAAAAAATTTAAGAATCTTGTGAAAGCATTTAGGGTTAGTAATACTTACTTATGGTTTGCATAGCGTTAACTTTGCTAACATGCAGAATCTGGCTGATATACTTATTAATACCCCCACTAGACGGCAAAAAACTATAGAGAAGGGACTGGAGTTAAGAAGAGTTTGATTGGAGAGAAGATATATAAGGAGTTCTCAACGATGTTCTGGATGAAACCTGGTAATTATGCTTTTGGGAAGCAAGCCTCGCAATTTATTATTAACACCAAATCTATTTTGTGAAATTCATGCACCGCATCTTCGACTATTTTTGCTAGAACTCCCATTCGAACGTGTACATAATGAGAGCATTAGAAGGTTGAGCAAAGCTGGTACGGCATCACAAGAGGCGTCAGAATCCTCAAATATTTCCACCCCAGAAGTTACTTCAGAGAGGCGATCAAGTGATAACCCATCTAAGAAGATATCTAAGGTTGTTGGAAGTTCTGAAGAAATATATATGAAATTGAGACCAATAACACCGTCAACTACTGAACCATATACTACCTCTAGACCGGTGACTCCCATTCTTCCTTCCTTTTCACAAAGCGCTAATGTTATTAATGTCACAATCAATAATAATTACGCTAGCACCTTTGAAGAGCAAGAGGATTAGAATGTTTTTTTATTAATGTAAAATAGCTTATTATGTAGAACAATTTTAAATGTATATATTTTTTATAAGTATAGGCAAGCAAGTAGCGTATCATTACAAAAATAAACACATATTTTTTTAAAAATCAAACGAATTCTTTATTATATTTTTCGTAAAGTATTACATGAGAAAGAGCCGGCCGGCTAAGTAAAAAATGAACTAATAAAAGATATTGGAGTAGATCACGTTTAAAGGGAGGAATTTTTTTCTCTCTATTTTCACTTTTCATTAATTCTAAGGTAAAAGTTTCTTATCACACGTGCTCCCTTTTTTCTCATCTAGATTGGTAAAAAAAATGTAAACCCTATCTGGATATCATATCCCTTAATTGGCATATAAGTAGTCAAGTAATCCTAGTTAGTTATTCTGTAAACGTATTCACAAAAAGGCAGAATTTATGTGAAGTGAATTCATCTAGGAAATAAATTACAAAAATATGCTTGATATGTACTGTATACATGCTCTAAGAGTTAATAGCATAAATGTGATTGATTAATAGTATACTGTATATTAGCATACATGCAATTTTTATTTTTCCCTATGCAAAATTTACACCCACACAAGTTGTTTATATTTTTGCGTATTACAGCTATTCTTATAATTCCTGGACCACCCGGTTTATTTTTGTTCCAGAGATAAATTTTTTCATACGCAGTCATACGCACAAGATTATAAATGATCAGCAGTAACTCTGGCCAAAATCTGTAATTCAGACCTGAATTAATTTTCTATGTGTCACGTGTGTAATGATGTAAACAATAAACAATAATTCGTGACATGTAACACTAAACAATACAATTTCTTAATTTGTGACATGTAACACTAATTTTAAATACTTATCGTTTTATTTATTTTAAAATTTTTTTCTCTAACGCTATTGTATATTGTTTATAAAAATGGCACAAATAAACCCTTTACAATATCGTCCAAATGCTTGCCCTTTATGCTTAACTTGTTTAATATGCACGGAAGTATATGGCAAAAACTGTATTTGTCCTCCTAAGGAACTGAAATGGCAACGAAAGAGCAGTGAATATAAAATTGATTTCCGTCACAAGTCACTTGATATGGTTGCAGCCAGAAAACAAAAGATAAAGTTAGACAATGTATTTGTCGATTGGTTTTATAGCAATATTTCACCAGACTTGGAAATATCAGAGGATCAACATGATGCAAACGTTTGCAGAAAATGTATTAATAAATTTGATTATTACAAAAAAAGTATGTGTTCTATATTTTTTATATAAATTTTTTTTTTGTGTTGATTATGAGCTATTATTTATCTTTATTAATTTTTTAAAGCATTGAATCAACCAAGGAAAATTAAATCTAGATCGGATTTGGGTAGTGAAAAAATAATAATTGATTTAGATATTAATGAAGATACCGTTGGTGACATTTGTACCATTGATCTTACTAAACAGCTTCCATTAAAAACATTATCATCACAAGATCTTAATATACCTGAAGTGAGCACTTCTGATATATCCATTCAGAATAAAAGACAGAAGCAAAAGCAAATTATTCCAAATAAATTTTTGATTAATCAAAAATTATTATATCTATCAGATATTAAAATAACACAAATATATCTATTTTTATATAATATTAGCTTATATTTCTTTAATATGTTTTAATCAGTTTCAAAAACCAAGAAAAAAACTTGATAGTGCGATATCAATTTCATTTATTTTGGATGATGTAAATAATTTTAGTCAAATTGAAGAGGCAATTCTTTCTAAAGAACTTCTAAAAACATGGGGAAAAATTGAGATAGGATTTTATTCTTATCAGCTATCTAAAGATGTAGGAGCTGATCATTTTAATTTAAAATCAAAGGAATCTGTTTTAATATTTATAGATGAAGCTAAATGTAGGAAAAATGTGCAATTATCTGTTTATCAAGAAAAGACAGCTACAAAATATAAAGCAATTACATATAGAAGTTCAGTTTCAAATACAAATGGTTTGATGGTAAGTATAATAGCATAATTTATACATGATTTTTATTATTATATTTGTTAACATTTTCATATATAATTATATTTTTAGGTGGGTGAAAATGAAATAGAATCAGCATTAAATGTAGCTAAAAAAAATATATATATAAATCTTAAAAAATGCCCTTTTTATATTCAAGAATGCCTAATAGCAGAAGATGGTCGACATTTAAAGTTGAATAGTGAATCAATTACACTATGGACTTGTGCTATGGTAAATAAAGATTGTATTATAAAAATCTAATCTTTTTACAGTCAAACCTCTATATACCGATGCTGCTGTTTTGAGAAAAAAGTATCGGTATATCAAATTATCGGTGTATAAAAAATTTTATATACTGATATTAATATTGAATGTTTGATCAGTATCGGTATACAAAAATTTTCATCATTTCAACTGTAAACTTAAATTTTTTTTAATAAAGCATTATAAATTTTCATAAATTTACTATTCAAATTATTTATACAATTATTATTAGTAATGTTTTATTATTAGGAATAT